TCCGATAGGATCCTCTGGGATCTTATAAATTCCTATGGGATCTGATCGGATCCGATCGGATCTTACAGGATCGTATAGGATCCGATTGGCGGATTGGCGGACCTGGGTATATTACAGTCATTTTCTCGATTTTTTGTAGAGTAACACAAAACCGTAACTAGCGATCGGTGTACGATAAAAAAAAGACTCAGTCCATATCTGAAAAGAAAGACCTTGATTTTTGCTACAAAACGAACAAAAAAAATTGGTAACTTTTTCTTCTCGTTTTTGAGAAACAGGAAACTACTTTTTGAAAAATTCCGTTTCCACTCATCGTGTAGAGTAACATTTTCAAACTTCTTTCGGTGATAACTCGACAAATACTAACGCGACTTCGCTGAAACTTTTTCTCAATGAATGATATTTGTTTTGGTATTACAGATAAAATTTTCAGCGTTATACGACCCCTCCTTCTAGCAAAACTTTACATGATACTAGAAAATGTAGAGTAACATTTTTTCGATATTTTTTCGAGCTAGGATCACTCAAATATACATTTATTATACACCGCTAGACTCGGCTTGAAGTGGCGAGTAAAACTAGGCACATTAAAGTCCTTCCAAAAGTAGCTAAAAACCATAAGAAAAGTCCCAATGAAAAAACTGTCTTACTGCTCTGAAGCGATAAAAAAAAATTTCTTACTAAAATGCGTCTTGTTTAGAATTGAATGTCTTCCTAAAGTGCTACTAACTGTTATTATCTTCTGAATTATTATTTTCTCGACATGCATTCAAACTCTGCAGAACGTGTCCGTCTTCACAGGCAGAGAATTAAAGTTAAACGAGTTCTTTCGAAAATATTCGACAAGGAATTTAAACGAAAGAAAAATCAATCACAAGCCAAATGGCGTCAGAAGAAGAAACAAGAGCAACAACAACTACGAGTAATACCACCACCTCCATCAGCAATAACAAACAAAACAATGTTACGGAAAAAAGAAGGTCAACAACGAAGACATATAAATACTTTAAAATTGAAAAATGAAAATGAAAGTTTACGTCGAACTGTCCGTCAATTGACACTTGAGAATGAAAAGTTGAAAGCTCAGTGTCCTCAAACACCACCTCGTCTATCTCCAGCCAAATTACTACTTAAAAATGTCAGTCCTTCGGCAACAATTCGTACAGTCATGCGTCTAAAAGATCAAAAAGATAATTTATCTCGTGGTTCAAATTCACAATTTAGAAAACAGTTAGGAATTAATTTATCAGTTCAAAATCAATCGAAAAATATCGGACCATCAAAATTAGAATCGGACATCGAGCAGTTTTTTTGTCAAGATAATGTGTCGAAATTGTGTCCAGACAAAAAAAAAGTAATTAATGGGGGTCAAGTACGTCATCGTCTGAATCATTTGTATACACTTCATCAATGGTTTGAAAATGAAACCAAGATTGATATTGATTATTCAACTTTTACACGTCACATTCCACCTTACATCCAGAAACCTTCACACGACAGCTGGGGAACGTGCTTATGTGTGACATGTTTAAATCATCAAATGAAATATGAAAAATTGAAACAAATGGGACACAAAAATTCAACAGTTAAATCAATTATGAATGGAACTCCAGTTGATCTATCGGAAATAATTAAGAATGATGATGAAATAGGACAATTTAAAAATAATTTGTCATTATTAGGTAATGAAAATTTGAATGTCCTCTTCAGTGAATGGCAGAAAATAAAGAAACCTAATTGTACGGTTCCAGTATCAACGAAAGTGACCTTAACTCTGTCTATTCATGACTTTCTGGAGAAGTTTCTACTTGAAATTGATGTAGGTCTTGGAATTTCAGTTAGCTGCAAAATCAGCGAAAACAGCAGCCAAAGAAGAAGATGGTGTTGCAACTGTACAACTCGACTGGAGCGAGAATTATAATTTGAAACAAGCACGAGAGGAAAAAGGTATTAGTCCTTCTTTAGACAAAAAGGCTGTATATTAAAATGCTAACGGTGAAATGATTTAGCGTTAACTTCTTTTCCTTGCGCTAAATTTCTATACTCCTTGAGCAATCTTTTTTCTCCACTATACTTCTTTAATTGGAATAGGTGCATATTATTTTGAGCATCATGTTTCTCTTTTAACCGGTTACGTTTGGTTAAAAAATAATTCATTCAGCTTCGATTGCATCAGCGATGATACAAATCATATGGCCGAAGCAACCTGGACAGCGATATCTGATTTATTGCAAGATCTAATTCAAAATCATGATGTTACAACACTTAACTTTATCTCAGATAGTCCAGTTTCTCAATACAGAAACAAGACAACAATTTATTTCATGACTAAATATGCTCAAAAAGAAGAAATTGATATTAAATGGGTATACCTGGAATCGGGACACGGTAAGGGAGTTGCAGATGCTGTAGGAGCAGCTCTTAAGCGTCAATTTGATGAAGCAATATCTTTCGATCCTGATCATGCCTTTGATAATACTCAAGACTTAATGAACGCAGTTCAAAACAACACTGATATTAAACTTTATATTTATGACAAGAAAGATATTCAAAAACTGAAAGATACAATTCCAGCTTTATCGACAATCAAAGGAACGGCAAAATTTCATGAAGTTTTAGCAAAAAAAGATGGGACTCTTTATGCTAAAAATGTATCGAATGAAAAAGAAAAACAATTGAACGTCAAATTTCATAATTAAATTGCGAAGATGATTTAATTCAACAAGAACACTTTTTTTTCTGAACTTTGTAAATAGGTGTACTTTTCGTGAAAGTGTGTTAATCGATATTAAACGAGAACAGAAGTAGAAAAAAATATTCATTGATTTTCCAACGTGTAAATGGGACTGGAATGCGAAGTAGAGAGCTCTAAATAGTACTGGTGAATCCGATAGATAAAAAAACGAGTGATAAATACACTAAAATACGTTTTCACTTGTTTGTTTCGTCGAAAACGGTTTTTCATACGGTTTTGGTGGCAGAAATAGGGTTTTTAGAGATTCAAGTGAAGTTAAAATGGATCAAACATTACCTACCTAGATAGAGCTCGACGAGATCTATCGATCGGTATGTAATAAGTCTTCTTTGGGATAAATGCTAGAGACTTTCTCAAATAAATGCTTAGGGACGAAAATTCGAACTTCCTGCTTAAATATTTCGGTTGCCTTAGCTCGGGTAGTTGGGAAAATTTTACCAAATACTCTGTAAAGGATGGCGAACAAAATGCACTATCCAGATTTTCTATCAACTGACTTTTGTTTTTTTTTATCAAC